GATATTCTCCAAAATGGCACCAGGGTGATGCGGAGGAGACGAATTGTTGAATAAAGTCTTTTTTTTTTCTTTTGCGTTCAAAAAGTATTCTCATAGCTTCGTAGAATTGCGGATGAACTACTGATGTCACATGGATTATTTTACAGATCTCCTTGCTACATTTCTGGACTTGGGAACATTTCAGTTGCGTTGCTGTCTATGCAGGTTCAGACAGCTCTCAGATTCCATCAGAATTATCTTAATTTGTTTTCCGAAGATGAACGAAGGTCTTACGGGTTTGAAACGACATGAGGGTGAGTAATTAATGACAGAATTGTCATTTTTGGGTGAACTAACCCTTTAAAGCTGTTAAGTACACAGCCTTGCACCTTATACTGATTTTCAAAGTTTTTGCTTCAAATCAAAGTTGGTAATGTTGTGATTCACCTTATGATTGGTTGGTTTGGGTCATGGCTTATAACTCTTTAACAAAGACATCGAAAAAAATCCCTTTGGGAAAAATGAACAGGAAAAATACTTCTGGATCAAGGGCTGCTGAAAAAGTGGACTCTATTCTAGACAGCATTCGATAGGACAAAAAAATGGATATTCATGTGTACGAGATGAGTCGTCAGCTTTCATATCATGTTTTGAAATCATGGGGGCCATGAAATCAGAAGATGCTTGCGTGGGCCTAGTTATGTTGCTTGTCTGATGTGAAGTGCTCCCTTTTTGCCATGCCAGAATGTTTTTACCCACCCCAGCTGGCTGCCACACGGGGGACTATCCTGCTACAATATATCTACTTTTCTAAGCACATCTACCTTAGACTATCAGAATTAGCAACACTGACTCATAGCTCTCAAACAGAGATAGCAGCGGTGCTCTTCATGCTGTTGAGTCCACAGGAAACTGAAGTGTCCCACAGGCCGGCGGTCTGAACAGTGACAGCCCCAGGGGAAACACAGAGTGTGGTGCAGAAGGAACGACTCTGTTGTGCCTGTCAGCGTGGAGCGACAGTACTCCCAGTGTATCAGAGATGTTGACAGTCTAATGCGCCACGTGTCTGTCAGAAGAGCTTGGCAGGCAGTCTGCTTGGGCTGAGCCGTCCTATTCTGGGTACAGCTTGCCCTACTAAAATTAGACTCGAAAGCTGGACTGAGTTAAGTTCAGTGCCACTGCCTCTGAAATGACTGTTCTGCTGATGTATGGCCGCATGGGTGGGACAAAAGAAAATTAAACCAGTAGTACTGTAACCAAACATGTTTCACTTTCTAACACATTACCTAGGTTAAATTCACTGCGAATGCTGTTTCATATTGTCTTTAATCTAACCTACACTGTTATTGCATAATGTCCTAGCAGAAAATTACCAGTACATTTTCCTTCAACCATAAAACACAATACAAAGCAATACGTGATTCAAAATAAAAGTGTTATACTAGTGAAAAATCAATATGGAAAATTCCTTCATATTAACACGGTATATTGGGAGTGTAGCTTCTGTATACTTTCAATGAATTGTGAAGGCTTAGGCTAGAAATGTATTTATGTCATGACAACTCTCAGAGGGATTGGCATGGTAATGTACATGACAATGTTAATGTATTTGGTCTTGGCGGAATAAATCTGCTACACTGCTGCTGCTGCTGCGGCGGCAGAGCAAGTACCGAGACTTGCTACTGCCAATACATCCACAACATGCTGCGGTAAGCATGTAAGAAATACTGCTGCTGCACATATAACACATAAATAAATAAAATAAATTAAATGTATGCATTTAGCAGACACTTTTATCCAAAGCGACTTACAGTGCATTCAGGCTATACATTTTTTACCAGTATGTGTGTTCCCTGGGAATTGAACCCACGACCTTTGCGCTGCTAACGCAATGCTCTACCACTGAGCCACAGGAACACAGATGACACATATACATAACATGAATCACCCCGTAGCAGATCTATACAGGTGGAGCTGGGGAAGGTGGAGGGTTTCTGAAGTGCGCTGCAAACTGCTACAGCAAACAAAAACCAGGTATTTGAATATTGAGCAGTAAGCTCATTGGCTACCGATTCAGGAGAGAACCAATCAGCTGCCATGTGACAATGATGTCGCCAGGTCAGATAGAGCTAGACCTATCGGACTGCGCCATCTAGAGTTTCATGCCAGAACTCTGTATTTCATGTAAACGCAGATGTGAGAGTTTGGCCTGCTGCTTGATCTATAATGAGATGCCAAAAGAATTCATTTGTAAGATTGCAGTCTGATACAAATGTACTGAGATAAAAGGACTGGGAACCTCAAAGTATATCAAAGACAACACATTTGTATTGCGTTGTCTACACTGGCTGCATTCATAAATATATTGCGCAATCAGCGTAGTCCGCTTCATGAACAAATGTCTCTTTAGAAGTGATTCTTTTAATAATTTGGTCAGAATTGTCTTGCAAACAATTTGATTTGAAACCATTGTTTGTGTGTGAGTTTGTGCAGGTGAAATCTAGTCATTTCAATAGAATCCACACAATCTGGAATTTTTGTAAGGGCAAATTTCACAAGACGTTGGTCACACATATTCTTGTTATTATTATTTAAATGAAAAAAAAGTGCTATGATTTACGTAGCTAGTTGTCAAAATGTCAGCAGTTTAACTACTGCGCTAGCTGAGCAACTGCCATTGTGATAAATGGGAATGCTAGCAGATAGACTTCTCCAGCTATTGTAGACCTCCTTGTTCTGACACATTTTGGAAAACAGCGACGCGTGAAATCGAGTCTGCGTGGCTGGAAGTGTTTGGGTTCACATACTCAAGTGTGTTTTGGAGCTTAGAAACACAAACTGCTATTTCAGCTATCAGCCACTTTCTTTTCATTACCTCCAGATCCATTACACTGATCTTTGGTCAGCTATACTGACACGAGATCAGCAGGACAGCAGTCGTGTGCAGTTTCCTCCTGTGATTGCCCCTGGGTACGGACGTGACCTTTTTAGAACGAAAGATCAGAATCAGCAATCTCCTCCTGGCACGGTGGAATGTAGGAGAGGCACTAATCAAGAAAGACATCACCGAATGCGGCCGGCACATAATGAGATCATTACAGGAGAGAGTTTTGGGGTAACCTCTAACCCGAAGGGGTGTGCGGTGCATTTGTGCAGCTGTTAGATGTTGCTGTTCTTGACCGAGAGGGACTCTGTAATGACTTTTATCTACCAGGAGACCTCAGATGACCAGAGGAATTTTTATTTTTTTTTACAAGCCTACCTGAAATTGGATGTTTCATCTGGTCTGATACCAAGGGAATCCTGCTGTGTTATTTCTATTGATCTTCTGGCTACTTCTGTTTTGGTCACATAACATTTTTACACAAAAATAGAAAAAGACAAAGTTTAAAACCCAGAGGAAGATGAAGACACAATGTTAAATATACTTTAAAATAATTATTTTATCGATTTCCAGCAAAATTCATCATTCTGCCATTGAAATCCGAAGAACTTCATTCTGCGTTTTCCACTTAGTGTCAGAGAGTCAATAAGCATTTCCATTCAGCCCATCTGCTGTTTTTGTTCAGAACAATTATAGCCTATATATAATATACATACATCTAGGGGTGAGCGATATGGCAAAAATATCATATCACGTTTTTTTTTTTTCAGTAAAATCATGATTTTATCATGATTCTTTGTCATGTTGGTTATACTATTTTGCATGTTGTCCGAGCAGTACAGCCAAACTAATTTCCCTATTTTAAAAACAAAGCCTTACAAGGTAACAAAATATAAAATAATGGCAGACATTTAGGCCAAATTGGGCGAAGATTAGGGTTGTAAAGGTGAGGAAATTTTCCCACTGGTTAATCGATGTGTGACAACACCGATAATACCGGTATCACCGCGGGGCAGGGGGCGTTCCCTCTATTTCTCACTTTCCTTTGGTTTTAAATAGCTTGTAAAAGCGGCGTGCTCATTTTACTTTCACTTTCAAATAGCGGCAAATAGGCTAAGTAAACATGTATAATATATAACCAAATAAATAAGAAACGTAGAACGTTTATTAGCAAAACGAGTAAGAAAGCTTGGAGGCACGGCATACACCTTGATGTCAAATAAAATAAATAAATGACACAAAGTTTAAATAAAGTAAAAATCAGCAAACAATGTGGAACCAATTAAATAAGAAAAACTTCCAAAATCACCTTAGATAAAAGGCAAAAGTCAACAGGCTTTTCAAAATCCAAAATATTGCCAAACAGGCGCTTTTGCATCTAGATTCGAAACTAAATCATCCGCGATCGTCTTGTCTCTCACCTCACTCTTCTTGTCGCTGCGTTCAGTTTTTAATTGTAGTGTCTGTTCTTTTACTGAACTAAATGATTTTTATTACTACAAAAAATCTAAACGACGGTGGGGGTCGGTGACGTAAAACTGGCAAGTGACGTAACTGGTGTTGCGGCTTAACACCGGTATCACCGTCAACACCGTCTATCGCGGCAAGCCTAGCGAAGATAAAAATCTTTGTCATTATTTTACCTTTGTTATTAAAAAATAAGAACAAAAATTCACTTTACAAATGCACATAATATACAAATAAAACAAACAGTGCTTTATTTTTCAGGTACAGTAGGTGTTTTTAGCAGCAGCATTCAAGAAATTGAATGCACAAATATAAAAATAAAACACTATATAGGCTTCACTACATTGATTCTTATTAAAGCAACCGTATTAAAGTTCAGTGAGCGGTGAGTGATTTTTCTCTGTTTTGTTGTTTTATTAACATTAAAGGGATTGTTCACCCAAAAATAAAATTCTGTCATCATTTATTCACTCTCAAGTTGTTTTAAACCTGAATAAGTTATAATAACTGTTCTGAATTAAGTTATTTTGAAGAATGTGGGTAACCAAACTGGTCCTCAGTGTCTTCCGTAGTATTTTTTTTCCTCCTATCAAAGTCAATGGGGACAAGCAACCGTTTAGTTACCCACATTCTTCAAAATATCTTCTTTTGTGTTCAGCACAAGAAAGAAATTAATACAGGTTTGGGACAACATGAGAGTGAGTAAATAACAACAGAATTTAAATTTTTGGGTGAACTGTCCCTTTAATGACAAGTGGCAGCATGTTTAGTACTATTAGCCTGCTGTCACTTTAAGACCTACACACATCTGTTTTTCTCTTAACTGTGTACTTTCACTTTAGACATAACCAACTGTGTTTATATTAGGGGTGGAACGGTTCAACTTACTCACGGTTCGGTTTGTATCACGGTTTTAGAGTCACGGTTTCGGTATGGTTCGGTATGTGCTATGTCTAGTCAAAAACTATACTGTCAAATAACAATAAAGAAAATAAGAATAATCTATCTAACTACAAGCAACAGCACAAATAAATACAATAGAGTAAAAATACAAATAAAATAAACAGTGATTTTCATTTTTTTTTTTAGGTAGGTCTAACATTAGTTTTCTATGTCTGCTATAGGATACTTACCAAGACGGGCATTTTGACAATTATTGTGTGAATTTGTCCATTCAAACACAATACTTCAGAGAAAGCTTAATATTTAATATTCGATTTTTTTCCGCGAACCGTTCCACCCCTAGTTTATATGTAAACCTTGTGTGCTTTTGCCTGTATTAGTGCAATGAGACGAGAAAGATAACTCAATCCAGTAATCAGGTGGTTTTAAAGGCTTTTTAGTGTGCGCTTCAGCCCGCGAATGAAATGTTTAACCGGCAAGGCTTCAAAGCACATGCAAATAATGTACCCTTGTGATTGTGAATAAGTGCAGTGTCCTGTGAATGTAACTCTACCGCTGAGTTAACATTTGATGTGAATGTATGTGGCATTGTACAGTATATTTAGACGGAGGTGCCAGATCTGCAACTGATATAATGAGACATTTTAATAATCCACGATCAAAAATCATGATATCGCACACCCCTACATACATAATTTATTAAGCTCAATTTGAGTTTTGGCATTTTATAAAACTTTTTCAACTTTGTCTAAAAGTAGTATTTGAACTGTAAAGTTGTTTTAATAGCAGTTTTTACAGCCATTTTACAGTTTAGTATGTTACCACGGACAGTGTTGTTGTTTCAAAAGAACGTTGCTACAAGTAGTTCTATTCTAATATTAGAATTTTCTAAAACTATTTCTTGCTGATCGCAATAAGTTTTCAGAAGAAAACCAGAGTTTGCAGGTATATTGTATTTACTATCTTAAAGGTGCATTCAGTAGTTCTCTTGGTAGCTTTAGCGTCACTGCTAGTATTGTGGTATCAAATGTTGCTAATCTATCGATGTGTTTCAGCATGACCATCTCTGATTTTTATGTAAATTACACTGATACTAGTGACTTTTAGATAGTGGTCTACTCAATAATTAATTCCCTTACCTATCCAACAAAAATTGGCAACTTGGGCATTGCTACTCAGGATTTTCTCCATCATCAGATTTTTCTTACCTTGTGTATGCCATACCAGTGTTTAAGATTTTTTGTTTTTTGTCTTTGTCTGCTTCTTCAGCCATACAGGTACAGATTCTTCTCCTGTTGTTTCCACTGATGAAGAACAACAATAATTCTGTTTGTCCATTGTCTAATGTTCGTTCTTAGCATAACCATACAACACTACACTATTAGTGTATCAACAGAGGTGACAGCCAATGAGGAAGAAGGCCAAATGCATTGAGGGGGGTGACTAGCACCGTACATAATCAAAACACTTTTTATAGACTGTTATGAGTACTGTATTCATCTCATGTGAGTGTACACCAAAAGTACTATTTATTTCTTAAAGCGTAAACTAGGGCTGTGCGGTATTGAAGAAAAATGCGATAACTCATTAAATAATGCGATAGTCGATATGCGATACGATAATGCTTAAAGTACCACATGCTCAGATGAAACAGTTTTACTCAGC